AGGCACAGCGGGGCATGTGATCCTGGTGACGTGGGAGGCTGAGGCAGGAGGATCCCAAGTTGGAGGCCAGCCTCAGCAATTTAATGAGACCCTGTCTCAAAGTAAAAATAAAAAGGGCTGAATAAAGTGCCCCCAGGGTTCAATTCTCAGTACTAGAAAAAATAAACAGCTCTGACAGCCAACTACAAGGCTTATACCCACTGGCACCTGAGTTAGGATAAAGACAAAGACGCAGCTACAAGGAGGGGTGTGTGACAACTCAGGTGGGACACTCTTGCTCTGTAAACTTCCACGGGAAAGAAACCTTCCAGGTGGCAAGATGTTAAAGGGAGGAGCCTGGGTCGAGGGTACGTACTACTGACAATGTTTTGCAAGTTTGAACATTTTCAAAATAAAATGCTGGGCTGGGCTGGGGCTCAGTGGCAGAGCGCTCGCCTGGCAGGCGTGAGGCGCTCGCTGGGTTCGATCCTCAGCACCACATAAAACACAATAAAGATACTGTGTCCACCTGTGATTAATAAAACAAAATAAAATGCCAAGGAGAAACCGTACTGGCAGAAAGGAATCAGGGACAGTACCATCAGCTGCGGTCTACTGTGGGTGTGTGATCCAGCCCCAGGACTCCTAGGGTCCTGATTTCCACAACATTCCAGAGCCCAGACGGCAGGCTGGTAAGCAGCCAGTGTTTAGAGACGGCGACCAACGAAAAGTTCTTACCTGACTGCAGACCTGCCCTGAACCCGGCTCTAACGTCACCCAAAGCCCGAGCTGTTTGTTCAACGCACTGCTGCCTCTCTACTTATGGCTACTCCACTGATGCTCACCAGAGGAAGACAATATACATGACCTTCTTGGATAATCTGGTCGTGGATTTTTCACTATATCAAAAGCAAGTCCCTGGCCAGGCGCCATGGCGCACATCTGTTATCCCAGCAGCTCAGGAGGCTGAGGCAGGAGGATCGCAAGTTGGAGGCCAGCCTCAGCCACTGAGCAGGCCCTGAGCCACTCAGCCAGCCCCTGTCTCTAAATAAGACATTTTCAAAAAGGGCTGAGGATGTGGCTCAGTGGTAGGGGAAAAGAAAAAGAAATCAGGAAGTCCTTAACCGCAAGCTTATCTTTGGTTTTATCAGATTCAAAAGAAAATGTCAGAATTAGAGCAAGTCACCCAGCTCGGGGACAAGGAGAGGAGCCCTACCTTCCACCTCCTCCCAGTCCTCCTCACTCTCCTCGTCATCGTCTCCTTCGCTGCTGCTTCTGTCCACGGGGGCCTCCTTCTTCACACGGGCCTTCCTGAAGTCCCTTGAACAGCCCCTGTGTGGGGACACGTCGCAGTGTCACGTTCAGGCTCAATGGGGTGAAAAGGCGACTCCCCCTGTGAATCAGGAGGCTGTGGCAGTCCCCTAGGTGGAGGTGACTACGCCGAGGGCCCAGTCCCATTCCCTCCCCCAGCGTGGGTCCCCAAATCTCCTCAAGCTGCCCCTGGACGGTCTGATCAACCTAGACATCTGTGGTGCACGTGCAGACCGAGGCCAGAGAGAGGGGAAGGGATTCCCGCTTGTTGATCCTCCTGTAAACCAAGTCGGAAGGGGTCTCCCTCCACCTTTAAGAAATAAGACAGAAGACACTGGGCACGCTGGCGCACGCCTGTCATCCCAGTGGCTCCGGAGGCTGAGGCAGGAGGATTGCAAGTTGGAGGCCAGCCTCAGCAACTCATCGAGGCCCTAAGCAACTCAGGGAATAAGATACAAAATAGGACAGGGGTGTGGCTGAATGGTTAAGCACCCCTGGGTTCATCCCCAATACCAAAAAAAAATTAAAAAAGAGGAAAGAAAAGATGTAAGTGAACCAAAGTTGGAAGGACTCTAATTTCCAGATAGGCAAGAACATGACTATACACAGGTACATCATAAAAAATGTAAGCAAGCTAACCACACAGGTAAGCAGCCAGCTAAACAATCGCGCAAGACTAAATGCTTCTAACATGGGATAAATACATGCAAATTCATATAAAAGCGTGCTCTGAGTTACTTTTAGGTTGTGCAAACTATGACACAACATTGAATAAGATTTTTGCACAGACATTTAAAAACCACCAATTCTCAGTCTTCGGTTCTAAGAAGACACACACTAAATCTTGCCTATCGTCTTTTCCAGCACCACACCAACAGAAACTTCCTTACAATACACACAGGAGAGGTGACCGTGTGCTACGGCTTTGAACATGGTCAGCGCCCAGGAGACAGAGCAGCCTCCTGGCCTCTCTCTGTGTAGGGGTCAACTGGACTCCACCAAGCAAAGGAGCCAGGGAGGAAGCAGCAGTTCAAAGGCTTTTTTTCCAGTACCAGGAATTGAATCCAGGGGCACTTGACCCCTGAGCCCCATCCCCAGCCCTATTTTATGTTTTATTTAGAGACAGGGTCTCACTGAGTTGCTTAGAGCCTCACTTTTGCAGAGGCTGGCCTCCAACTTGCGATCCTCCTGCCTCGGCCTCCTGAGCCTCTGGGATTACAGACATGAGCCACCGCACCTGGCTCAGAGGCAGTCTTCACAGAGTCTACGGGAACAGAAGAGATGAACGATGGTGGCCAACCTGCCAGCTTCCCCCACGCCCCTGACTTCTCCTGGACTTCCCCCATGCCTGGATTAGAGGTTCTAGAAAAGTCGACACCACAACTGGGATTCCTTTTGAAGCAAAGATCAAAGCAGCACAGCTCTGTTCCTCCTCTAAGCACCAACTTCCTTAGGAGGCAGACAGTCCACCAGGCTCCTGTCCGCCGTTGCCACGTGTGAACCCGAGTGCTCACCGCTGTCTGCCAGACCAGGGCGCAAGTGCGACAGCCCACAGAGCCCGCGACACTGGACCCCAGATGGCCCCAGCCCTCTCCGAGCTCACAGGGTAGTGCCCTGGCCTGTGGCAGGGTCCCAAGCAGCTGGGACACCAGGCAGGGACACGCTATGCTCTTCAAAAACATGACAGGGAATCCAAGGAGGCAAGGGGAGGAATCAGTGGAAACTTCTAGAACACATGGCTGTGGGCATGATCTCCAAGGGGGAGGAAGGTTCTCCTCGTGGAAGGAGAAAACATGAGCAGCGAGTGCCCAGGCCCGAGGTACAGGGACGTGTGGAACCAGGGCGGAGAGGTCCAGCTGGGCCTGGGCCACGTGTCCCCAAAAAGGTGGCACAAGAGGAAGCCAGAGTGGCGGGTACCCCCTATCTACGGGCCACAGTCAGTAGCCCCGGGCTCTCTGGCTAGTGTCCCCCTGGCTGACTGCATCAATCAGTGTCCCCCGCTGCTCCTAGTGTCTAGAAGACTCCAGAGACTCCTCCCTGTCCCTGGATCCTGGTGACAAGTGAGAAGACAGGGTCTCACTCTCCCCGCCGCCCGATGGGAAGGGTGGACACGGAGTCTGACGCCCGCCGGGCCCTCACCTGACCTCTGCCCCTTCCCCCAGGGCTTCCTCCTTCACGGGGACGCTCTCAGACGTGACAGTCGCCCTGGCCACCTTCTTTCTTGCTGGGCGATCTGCGGAGTCCCCAGGGCGACTGCGACCTCTCTTCTTCTTTCCTGGGGAAACTTTGGGGACGAGGCTCTTCTTGGGGGCTTCCGGTTTCTTGTCTTCACAGACACCTGGGGGGCCACACAGAACAAGAGTTGGGGACAACAGGAACGTGGACACAGAGTGGCTCAGGGACAGGGTCTGCAACCTCTCTCCAAACGCATCTGCACTGCGGCTCACCATCCCGCCTTGGCCCAGCATTGGCTTGCCGACGCCCTGATGTGTGGGGAGGGTAGACCACGGGAGTGACAGGTTGCAAGTGCAGCTACAAGTCCAAGTTTTCCCACGACCTTGGTTTCATGAATCTGTCTCTGCCATAGCTAGTCGGGAGCCTGGTCAAAACCCATCCTGCTGCAAGATGTCTCCAACGTCACCCCAACTGTGCCAGCAGACTCAGAGGTGGACAAAGGCAGGGCACACCCAGGTGGAGTCTCCTTTCCAATCGGAAGTGCTCACATACCATTTTATTTTTCAGATTCTGAAATACTACCCATTCCTAACCCAAAAGTCCCAAATCCAACATTTTTGCCATGTTTCAGACATCAAAATTTTGGTGATGTCAGATTTCCAGTGCACAGTATTTCAAAAACACCACTATCTTCTTAAAATGGGTATTCTTGATGTCTGTTCAAGGGAACTATGAAAAATTCACAAGCTGTTGATTTTAGTTGGAGAGGGTGTCTAAACACATTATGTTTCTGGATGATTAGATCATTACTTTAATACTTTATAAATAAAAGGGCCAGGAAAAAATATTGTCCCGCTTTGCAATGACATTCACGCAAATAAATTCTCCTTCGATTTTCTATGACTCTGCTTCAATTAATTTTGGAAAATAAAAATATTATCGCTTTTGTGTACGTCCTAAAAGGGAATGCGGTGCTAACCTCAAATATAAAATCAATTCATCGCTTTCGCTCGTAGATAGTACATGCTCAATAAATAGCTGTCAGAGGAATTGATGAGTTATAGCAATAGAGGCCTTAAAACACAGCACCATGAAGAACCACAGAGTGTTCACCGCAGCAAGGAAGCAATGGGGGAAGCTACTTTGTTCCTAACTGTCCAGAGCAACACCTTCATTTGCATGCACAGAAGTGCTGTGACAGTCTACACTGGGTGCTGGGGCCGGGGCTCATGGGTAGAGCGCTTACCTAGCAAGTGTGAGGCCCTGGGTTTGATCCTCAGCACCACAGAAAAATAAATAAATAAAATAAAGGTGTTGTGTCCATCTACAGCCAAGAAATATATATATATTTTTTTTAAATCAACACTGGTATAATGTTAGAAATGCTGCTGAACATCAAGTTAACGTCAAGTTATTGTCACCTGCATCTAAACCACAACCAGCAGGTCTGTGCTCTCAACCCAACCACAACAAAGCTTCTAAGCCTTCAGACCCTGCAGGTTGCCTTGGAAACGTACTGCTCACGCCTCTGGTTGGCAAGAGCTCACCAGCTGAACTGCAGGACACCCTAAGTGCTACGAGCTAGTCCTACAACGTCCCAACACGGACATGCCCAGGGCTTCCTGCATACCTCGCTGGAAACTCACTGCCACCCCAAAGGAGGTTCAGAAAGGCTAAATTATTTGTGCAAAATAACTTCCCCAAGTGCACACAACTACTAAGTGTTGGAGCTACATGAAACTCAGGCCCAGGTGACTACTGATCTGGGTCCAAGCATTTTCATCCGATTAAAACCTTGACTTTTTGAATTGCTACCTACCAAGAACACAAGCAGAGTGGATCACCCACTTCCTATCATGGTCCCTTTGCTCAAATAATAGCCATCTTTAAAGAAGCACATCAAAGGACTCCTTCACAGAGTACTTTCCAATCTCTGGAGTCAAACTTGATTATTCCTTTGGAAGGGAAAAAGGCTCACACATTCTCTCGCGATATTTAACATGCTCTTCCTTGGATATTTTACAGCATGAGTTATGTCTACATAATATTCTAGGTTCCTGCGAGGCATCTCTACCTTCTATGTCATCCAGCGGATGGACAGCACATGCCAGGTATTCAGAAACAAACAAACAAAAAGTTATGTGAATGAATGAGTAATTTCAGGAACAATATGAAACTCATCACATTAAGTGTGGAATAAATCACCTCCTAAACTTAGGATTTATGACCCCATTTGATTCACTCAATGGATCGCTATTCATCCAAATGAATTCGTAATGTGTTCAAAATTACATAATCTCACGTCCTGGAGGCAAACAAGTGTTACCTAATCTAATCTTCCACCCAGCTATCCCAGAAGGTCCACACACCGCTTCTACAACATGCATTTTGCACAAATTGATACTATTTATTGATTATATGGTGTCAGGGGGGAGTAGTTGGGGAGAACATTAGAGCATAGTTGTTGTTTTTTTTAAAACAAAGGCATGCTTTCATGAAGCTTAAATCCCGGGAAAGACAGTCAAAAATTAACAAGATCATTACAGATTGAGAAAGGGGGTGGGAGGGAACCACTAGGGTCCAATGGGACAAAGTGCGTGAAAAAACAAGAGATGAGCCCCACCAAGAGCCCCTGGGGGGAACATTCTAGGCAGAAGGAACATCAACAACAAAGGCTTCCAACATCAAAGGGCAGACAACTTGGCATCCGCATTTGGGGAAGGAAAAGAGGGCCAACCAGGAAGCTGCCTGGCACGCAAGAGGGGTAGGAGAGGAGGAGAGCAGCCCCGTCCAGGTCGTGCAGGGGCACGCAGGCGGCGATAAGGGCGGCAGATTTTCCATTTTCCAAGAAATGGGAAACCCAGAAGGGGTCTTGAAGCAAAAGCAAGGCATATTTTTTGCTGTGAACATCTTGGGGGGCTGCCTGGTGGGCACCCAGTGCAGAGGGCGGAGGGGAAGCAGGAAAGGAGGCAGGTGATGGTGGCTTGGACCGGGGTGATGGACATGCAAATCAGGTGGACAGACAGGAGGGAGGCACAGTTGGGAGGCTGAGCTGGTTGGAGTCTGCAGACGGACTGGGAGCAAGGGAGGAAGCGGGGACGGGGCTGGAACAAGTGGCTGCCGCGATCACTTACTCAGATGGAAGGAAACGGGACCAGGACATGTTTAAGGAGGAAAACTCGATTGCTGTGCTTTGGGGACAGTGAGGCTGAGCTTTGGGGACAATGAGGCTGAGCTTTGGGGACAATGAGGCTGAGCTTTGGGGACAGTGAGGCTGAGCTTTGGGGACAGTGAAGAGGCCCGTCCGACACCCACGCGGGGGGCAGCGCAGGGGCTCAGACTCGGGGTGAAACTTGGTGGCACCGATTGTTCTGGGAGTCGCCACTGACCACGTCCTGGACCCTGTGTCTTCTGGGGACCCACTCTCTCCCGCGCTTGCCCAGAGGCTAAGCGGCAGCCTCGGGGCGACGGGGACAGGGAGGAAGGAGGCTCCGGGAGCCCGTGGCAGGTGGCAGCCGGCGCGGTAAACAAAGGCACGGGACGTCGCAGGGTCCCCTCCCGGCGCAGCCCGGCTTCCGCCCTCCCGCCGCCGCCCGCCCGCAGCAGCGCCCCGGAGCCCGGCTCGGCCCCGCTCTCACCCGCCGCCTCCTCACGCGGCGCCGCATTCTTGCCCCTGGCGCTCCGGCCGCTCGGCTCGCGTCCCCGCGGCTCCCCTCGGGCCCCGCGCCTGCGAGCCATGCTGCCCGGGCAAATCTCCCCGCGCGTGACGCACCAGGACTCCCCAAAACAGCCGCGCGCGCGGGGCCCGCCCCCAGGCGGGGCGAGGCCTGGCCGCACCCCTTCGTGCTGGGCCGAGCTCCTCCCCCAGAAGGAAGCTCCGCCCACCTCCGAAGGGCCAATACGAATCGACTATCATCACTACTTCCGGAGCGTGGCGTCATTGCGCTTCCGGTTCTGCGGTCCCGGAGACGCTCGCGGGTTCTCGCGAGAGGCGGGAAAGGGCGCAGGGTTTGAAACATGGCGGACGACGTGGACCAGGTGACTGGGTTCTAAGGTCCCGGCTCCAAAAGAGCGTCCCCGCCCCTTGCGGCCCTGGCCCTGCTCGGCCTCGCGTACCAGGGCTGTCTCCTTCCAAGCCCGTGGGAAGGCGGCCTGCCGCGGTGGCTCGTCCCGGTCGCCGCTGCCCCTTGTGCCTCCGGCCGTCGCGCCCCCTCCGGACTCGGCCGGGACCCCGAGGTCCTTGTCAGCCCGCCCGAGAGGGGCCCGCCGCGCCCGCCACCTCTGGGCCCGCGAGGCCTGCCCTTGTATGTGGAGTGGAAGGAGCCGGCCCTGCCTGCCTCCCGGGCGGTCAGGGTTCCCGCAGGAGGCGGGACCGGGCGGTCAGGGTCCCAGGGGCCCGTCCTGGGCGCCGGCCGAGGGGACGCGCCACTCGGGAGGGACACGGCTGTGGCCCCGGGGACGCTGCCAGGCGCACAGCGACGCCTGCCTGCCTGCCCTGGAGCCCGTGCTCTGCAGGAGGACAGACGGGTGCAGGGCTGTGGCCGAGGAGCTGTGACAGCAGCAGTGGGCCCCGGGCGGGGAGGGCGCGGCCCGGCCCTGCACCTGCTCCTGTGCTGGCCCGGGTCCCGCTGTGCGTGGGGCCACGGCCTCTGCAGCTTCCCACTGCGGGAGTCTCCGCTGCACGAAGGAGGACTTCCCCGCCACTTACCTAAAGTGGCCCTTGGTTCCTTTTTTTTGCAGCATGTTCTATGTTGAACGCGGGCTGCTTCCTTTAATGTGCATCTCCCACCTGGAGAGCGCACGGCCATGAGGCTGAATGAACCGAGTGATGGGGACTCGGGGTGCACCGTGGGCATCCCGGGCCCGGAGAGCAGGAGGATGGTCGGGTTTTGATAGAATTGTCATTACGTATTAATGTGCATTTCTCCACAATAATATGAGCTGCCTGATGGTGGCAGCTGTGGTTACCCAGTCCTTAAACAGCTGTTCAAGTGAGGTGACGGTGGTACCAACTGATGTCAGGGCTCTGATGTCAGGGGTTTGGGTTGTTTGGGGTTTTTTGGGTTTTTTTTGTTTTTTTTGTTTTTTTTGGTCTCATTTGTCCTTTTGAACCTTCTGTCACCTTCTTCCACCATTTCATGTACTCTCTGAAGCAGTTCTTGAATAATCTTACCAACTCCTCCTGGCTGCAGCCATCCCGTCCATGAGGATGACCCTAAGTCATGCAGCCCTGACCTCTGAGGCCTGCATGTTGAATGGTTCTGTGACAGTGACAATGGAAACCATTTATCTTGTTCACCAAGTATTAGGTCGCTCAGTCCTCGTAAGAACCTAAAGGGAGGTTATGGCTTCCTCGTGTTACAATTGAGGAGTCTGAGGGTTGTGACGGCAGGATTTGTGATCCGAGTTCAGGAGAGTCCGGTCAGGGTCAGGAGATGGACACAGACTGGCTGACTCCAAAGCTGGTGCTTTCAGTCGGTATTCTATACACCTGCCAGGTTCTGCATCTTCCTGACCAGTTCCCACCCTGAACTCCACCTGCCCTGTGCTGGATTCGTGATCTTCCCTTAAACCTGCACCTCTGGTAGCATTCGGAATTCACAGAGACGTTAGGTCAATGGTTTTTAAGTGACTGAGTGAGAGCTGGATATCAAGGAAACAAAGTCATGCTTATTTGGCTGAATAATTCATATAATAATTCATATATACATATATATATATATCTGTCTTAGCGCTCATTTATGTCACAGGTGTTATACGAGAGGCACTGTACTAAGCCTTCATATCATTTAAGCCTCCCAGCAACAGAATTAGGGAGACACTATTGGTTTTCCTGTTTTGCAGACTGAGGCACAGAGGGGTTAAGTAACTTTCCCACAGTAACACAGCAGGGCAGAGATCCAAACTCCGAGCCCCCTCTAGTATCCCATCCTAAGCCTGTTTTCCTTTACCAGCAACAAACCACCAACACCGTAGAGGAGCCGCTGGACCTCATCAGGCTCAGCCTGGATGAGCGCATTTACGTGAAGATGAGAAATGACCGGGAGCTGCGAGGCAGGTTACATGTGAGTACATCGGATGACCTCGAAATCACACTGTTTCCTGCCCCTCCTTCCTGCCTCGCTCCTTGTAGTGCAGGACTGGGCAGGGGGAGAGCGTGTTTTAAAATGCAGGAGAAAGCGGGTAGAAAGCCGCTCCTATTTCTATGAACCCGACACAACTGCAGTTTACTCGTTTTTAGCGATTTTTTTTTAGCAATTTCAGCAAGGATGTTGGTCAGAGTTCCTTCTCCTCCCCTTCATCTCTCACTTTTATTTGTAAATAAATTTGTCCTCCATTCTTACTTAAATATATGCATATGTACTCATTCAGATCTTTTCTGTATATTCTCTCAAACACACAAGTGTAAGCATATGTGTGCATACGTGAAGACACATATATACACGCACACACGTCTGTGTGTGGATGCTTATATTTGCACCACCTCTAAAAAGAGTGGAATCCTGTTATGCATGTTTTTCAGCACCAAAATAAGTCTCCTTTGCTTCCACTAGGGAAGACTTGGATGGTGAATAACAGTCGTATATGAATGAGCGCTGTTTTATATTGTAGATCGTCCTTGTGTGTAAAGGTGACTTTACTGTATGACGGTGGCATTTAGACTATCTCCCATTTCTTGCTCCTATAAATGAGGCACATATTTCTTTGTGCACATGTGCAATTCTTCCTGTAGAATTGGCCCCTTGAAGTGATCCTGTTTGTTCATAGAAAACCTGGACGATGTGGCCTCTCCTTGGTCACCTCCTAACCATGCTGTTTCCGTCACCTTTTCTGTCCCCTGAACTGGTTAAAGAGACAGGTAACGTTTACTGAGCACCAGCTGCACGTCAGGTCCTGTTCTGAGGTGTCTGCCTCTCGCCGTGGCCCAGCGGGTCTGTTTTCCACTCCTAAACTGTATACTTGGCCCTGGTTGGCGCTCCCTGCCCAGCACATGCCCACGTGGCCTGTGGGCTGTTTATTCTGAGGGGGCCACGTAAACCATCCAACACTGTTGGAGTCCGTGTGAGGAGATGCTGAGCGGGGACCTGGGGCCCACGTGTTGGCATGAACTCCCGAGGCCACATTGAGTGTCCTGGTCACATTTATTCCCTCGGCCCACAGGTGCCAGGCACGTCCAAGTCCTGGACAGTTGCTCCGCCTACCTGCCCTTTGTGGTATCCAGTCCTTTAGAAACCTGCAGTGCCGTCATCTTAACAGTTGAGGAATTTCTTCTCTCAGTCCCTGTTTCTTTCCTTTCACACTGTGGCTGGCTCCATGGAAACGAGTCTGGTGATCAGTGATAAATATGACATGGCCACTGTGGGTAAGGAGCAGGGTGGACACTCAGGAAATCATTCCAAGTCACTTTTAGTAAATGCACTCGGGGCCGTGATTGATAGACAGTGTTGTTTTTATTGGGTCAGTTCAGCTGTCGCTGCGGTCGTGTGTGAAGAGGTGGGGTAGCAGCAGATTGTCGTCCCTGGTAGGTGAAGCGTGTGGTGTGAGCATCAGGTGCATTACCTGTGGTGGCCCAGGTGACATGTCGTGGGCCCTGCTCGTGGTGGTCTCTCCGCTGGGTGGGTGCGTGTTTTCTGATCCCTCGCCCTCCCACTCCAGGCTTACGATCAACACTTAAATATGATCCTGGGCGACGTGGAGGAAACCGTGACCACAATAGAGATCGACGAAGAGACGTATGAAGAGATCTACAAGGTAAGTCACCCATTATCTCAGCTCCTCACTTTGAACCTGTCACTTGTTCTCGGCATGCGACGGCTCCCGTGCCACAGCTCAGGGAGGCCTGTCAGGTTGGGACACCGACTTACAGACTTGATGGAGTGTGGCAATTAAAAGGAGAGCCCGGAGGTCAGGCGGATCTGGTTTCCGCTACTGACTTGGCCACTACCTATCCGGGCTCCCTTGGGCAAGAGAGTCCACTGAGTCGGCTTGTCGCCAGGGTCATGGTGACAGTGCGAGGAGCGGCCTGTGAGCCACAGACAACAGGACGATGGTGTTCCACGTCATATGGACTTGGCCTGATGATCCTCATGTGTCAGGAACTAAAACAGGGACAGTTCACAGAAGTGTTCCCTCATTCAGACACACGCATGTCCACTGTGAAGACAAGTAACAGTGTCACGGGGCTGGGGCTGGGGCTCAGAGGTAGAGCGCTCACCCAGCATGTGTGAGGCCCTGGGTTCGATCCTCAGCACCACATAAAAATAAATAAACAGAGGTATTGTGTCCAACTTAAAGAATATATATTTAAAAAAAAATAACACTGTCACAAACAACCACTGTTTCTAGAACAGTATTTGGTGAAGTGCATTTGCTGTGCGGTTTGCCATTGTCTCTGCAAACCTCCTTACTGCCAGGCGCAGCTGAGGGCAGGTTTGCGTGCCCTTTACCTGCGTTTCCTCCATCGTGATCCATTGTTGGGGTTAAAGAGAGTCTGACCCCACAGACGGGGAGTGGAAAGGGAAGGGTGTTTACAGACACCTGCTGCAGTCAAGGTCGATCACCCTGTGGCATCGGAAACCGTGTCACTAAGCTGATTTTTATTCTTATCCCATGAACATGGACTGGTCTGCCTTGCACTTTAATGGACCTTGGTAAGAAGCATGATGTGGTGACCTCGAATACTGCTCATTGGAAATGGCCATTCACCAAGTCATGCGCACACGTTTCACTGCTTCATATTTTAATACATTTGTTGGTATCTCCTCAAAAAAGTCTTTGAATATCACAAAGCCAGTCTCTGGCCTGTTGGACTCTGGTGGTGAAAAATAACGGG